CCAAAAGGTTCAGGGTGACCTCAAATCTGCTATATATATGTAAGATCGCAATAATATCACGACGAGAAAAATTCCTCAATCACGTATTTTTTCAGCAAAAAAACTTTTTAAAGTAAACAGTTTGGCGTCATGAATGAAAAACATGGAAGCACGAGATGGGATCCTCGTGCCTTTCCCCGGCCAATTCTTCGTAAGTACTTGCAGGAATCGGAAGGAATGGATGAGGTCGTGACTGCATTGCGATGTTAGGGTTTTCTTTGTTTTCTCTCTTGCTTGGGTTCTGGGGTCGAGGGGCCTCATGCGATTCATCGATGAAGCGATTCCCATCGTCCGAGGACTGTTGGCATGTTTGCCAAATTTTTGGCCTTCCTGCACCTCTGTGGGCGTTTCGCGAAACCGCTAAATTTTGTTGTCTTGAAAAATAGTGAAATGCAGTAGAATGCTTTATATATGTCGTAGGGTTTTGTGGAATTCAGAGGGATTCCGAATCTCCCTAGGGAGAGATAGGATTCCACTAAACCCGCGGGTTTAGCGGAATCCTCTCGAAAACCCCCATTATGTCACCTCCCCCTGGGGGAATTCCAAATCATCCGGATTAGCTGCCAATGCTTCCATCATTTTGTTTACCCCAAGGGAGAAAGAGAATTATCAAGACACCCGGGGAAATGGAATTTCATTTCAGTCCATGTAAAGAAGAAAAAAAATTAATGTCAATAAGATTCGAATCGGAGTCAATTAACAATATACTTGTCTTATTTTGGGAGGGTGCACGGCTTTCCCCCGTGACACTTTTTTTTTACACTGCGCCTGTTGGTGCGATAAGACTTGTTGCACTTGCAGATGGATCCTGCACCCCACTGGCGTGGCTTGTTTCTGCCCTCAAAGCCTTCATTGACGCAACCACTGTCTTCCAAGCTTCTCTTTCTTCGTTAGTGGCAGGCAGAATCAGGCGCGGCATTCTCACTGATTCTCACGGCGCCAATTAGTCTATTCCCGACCAAAGTCTTTCGGATACTTCCAAATGAAGGCGGCTAATAAGTTTGACGGACGAGATTTTGAGCAATAAATTCTAGGGTTTTGCCCTCGCCCATTATGGGAAGGGTTATAAAAATAGCTAGGGTTGTCAACGCGTGACATGGATTTTTATGCATTTTCTTCGCGTGTGTCCTGCAGATGTCGTGGCGGCCATGGGAGGATTCCGGCAGAATCTGACAACCTTGCGCATTCTTTCCCAAACGGATGGCAACCACATGTCAATTCCAGTTAATCACTTTATGGGCACCCACAATAAGTGTGAGGGGGATTCCATATCCGAGAATTTTGGTCGGGAACAGACTATAACACGGTATTTTTCAGCCTTAAATAATCCGTAAACGCAAACGAAAGGAGAATTGCCCTCGGCGGGACAAGCCGTGGGAAGGGTAATTTTCAAGCCAGGGAGATATGGAATCTCCCTAGGGTGTAGTGACATTGACACGACTTTGAGAGGATTCCGAATTTAGTGGAATCCTGTCTCTCCCTAGGGAGATTCCAAATCCCCCCGAATTCCACAAAACCCTACGACATACAGTGAGGGACAAAACTGTTGCAATGTTCGACACATTGCCAGTTTATGACTCATAACATAATGACGAGTTCAATTTTACATAAATTTCAGTCAATCATACTTCAACTTCCTGGTTTAGGATTGACGCTAGTCACATGTCAATTGGCTTGATGACTTTGCGCTTGTCGGCGGCGGAAAGCTTGGATGGACGCCCACCATTGCTCTTTGATGCGTCGGGTTTGACTTGAGAACGCACCCGGGATACGGTGCTATAGCTTATGCCAAGCTGGGCTGCAATTCGAAGCGTCGAGAGGCCATGGTCGATAAGTAAGGCGATGCTGTCGCGAGTTTGTTGGGAAACAGGTTTCATGTTGCCAGCAACGTTCAAATGGAACCCAACCCCATCCAAGCCTACCACATCTACACCTAGGCAAGCTACAGGCTTGCTTAGGTTGCTTCTGGCCAGTTTCATTTGGGAAACGAGAGACTGTGGGTTTTTTTTTATATCGTGGATGGAAAGCGTGGGACGTAGGGACAAAACTGTTGCAATGACCTGGTTAGCTTTCAATAGCTGCAACTCATCCAATAGGGGGCCAATTGACATGTGACTAGCGTCAATCCTAAACCAGGAAGTTGAAGTATGATTGACTGAAATTTATGTAAAATTGAACTCGTCATTATGTTATGAGTCATAAATGGCAATGTGTCGAACATTGCAAAAGTTTTGTCCCTCACTGTATATATCATTCTTTTCGCTGTGGATAAGATTGCAGGTGGAATTGGAAGTTCCTCCCCGAGTTCTTCCAGGATTACATCGTTTGCCGACGAACTTTCCTCTCCCTTCGAAGAAACAGAGGCCATCCTCGGTCGACTTCCGAATGCGAGCCAGCTTACGCCTGACAGGTTACTCGCGACGAGGTGGTGTTGCCACGAAAGTGGGACGCCCGACGACCGTACCCACTCTTCTGATACAAAGATGACGAAAGTAATCTTCGTGGTCAATTAGTGGTGATTATTTTCGCCAGTTGCAAATTCTAACACGAGTCGAAAGAGCTCTTGCCCCATATACTGCATAGTAATTTGGCTTTCATCAGGCATATAACTCGTAAACATACATCTAGCTTTTAGATATTTCCTTTTTTGGCGTTCAATTAGTCGATATTGCGGCTATTCATCCTCACCCTTAAAAATTCCCAAATGTAAAAAAAGGGGAAATAAATGTTCTGGCCTCGGCTTGTGACCCGGAATTCCTTTCGCATGCGGTTTGATCAGAAGGTTCAGGCAGAACGCCTGGAATTGCATAAGAGTTTAGGCCAGACAGGGACTCGGAATGTACCGCTGTCGACCTGCATTTATTCATTTCTACCGGTATTTTTCTTATCATAAAGGCGAGTAATGTTCAACTTACATAAGAATCCGATTGCCTTATGAAATGTATTTGTACAGTACTGTGGCTGCGGTGAGGGTCCTGGATCTACATCTCGAGAGTGCTCGATCGTATCACGTATTTCCTTCTCTGTGGTATTTGCTCGAGTGGGACGTTTCGATATTCTTCAGCATTTTTGCTAGCAGACCTCACGTCAGCAATGCGGAGAGGGGTCGGAAAGGGGAGAGCAGTGCAGGCTCCCGGAGGTCATGTGCCCTCGATCCACAGGAGGAGGAATTTAATCGTGGTGGAGACATATGATGCTCTTCGAACCTCACCGTGACCCTGGCGAGATGAGACGAGATGGGAAACTGGTCAAGGGCTTCCTCTTTCCATACTTAGATCGAGGTCATCCGTCCACTCTCCCTTTTCCTCTTTTCTGTCGCTACCGGCTTGCTGTCTCGTTGCAATGGGTCCCGCGTTCGTCTCCGAATCACCGTCGTCCAACGCGCCCGAGTCTTTTGGGTACTATCTTTCTTCATATCCCAAGTTTGAGTCCATTCAATGAGAATTGTAGGCCCGAATAATATAGCGACCTCTAATTTATAAAGGTTTAAGATACGTTATTTCTACCTTGCTACCTTTTTTCGATTTGGTATTATTTCTTGTTGGTATGGTGGAGGACCGTTTCTTCTGCACATCAAACAAAATATTGGTATGGTTTCAAGTAATTCTCTCTTTCAGAGAAGTGGAATTTCGTGCAATGAAGCAGTGGGTTTTAACCATTTCAGCGAAATGTTACACGCAAAAATACTAAGAATTCATGCCAGCTGATTCATGATTAAATTTAAATTAAAGAAAAGATGCGATCAATCCATGACTAATTTACTTGCCAAAACATTTTTTATTTATGGATATTTACGGCTTCTAATAATGTCACGCGTACCAGTAAAAAAAAAAGCCAGAACGCTGATACGAGTACCAGCGGTTGAAAATCACTGTTATAAGGCTTGCATTGGCTGTGAAGGCTTGGGAATCCATTGGAAATAGTCATGAATCCCATCATGATTTACATTTACATACGAGTGTGAAGTAGCCAAATTTTCTAATTGAACGTCTGATCAGCAATAAGGAAGAGGAGAGGCATTTACTAATGCATAGAACTGGATGATAATTGAAATTTGTGCTGTCCACCACTAACCGCCATCTCTCGGAAATATTCGGTTTTTTAGTTTTTTTTTTTAAGCATGTATTGAACTTTATGATTTAAAAAATATATGGCTGAGCTGAAATACAGTTGATATGATTTCCTTGATGTCCTAATACTTCATGTGATATGAAGTTAATACGAATTTCATATAATGTATTTATCAACACGATCGCAATTTCACGTTACTTTGGAGTAAAAGGTTTCGTGGATCGCCAATGTTTCATATTCTTTCACATTATGATGATCGGGAGGGACATCTCATACAAATCCTACAGACAAAACTTTGACAGTGATTAGCTGTAATATTGCTTTGGAAATGCTGGTTTGGTACAAGCGCCAGGAAAGACTTGGTTTTTAATTTAGAATAGAGTTTTTTCCTCTTGATGCCTAAAAGAATATGAATATTGAATACTTTTTTCGGTAAAGTGTTCTCAATGTGAATGCTGGCGTTTGCACAGTTGTGTTGCTCAATATATTTACCCTAGGTCGCGCAAGTTGAAGGCAGATACAGGACTTGAATGGGACATGAGGACATTTCTCTGTGATTCTGTAGATACCGCGTAGCCAACATGGGGAATTCATGAGTATTGGTTAGGCGTGTCGTAAAAAAAAATGCTGTCCCACTTCTCTATTTCTTTGTATTTTTTATGAAACATTTTTCAATTATCCACGTCCATGTAAACCTCTCTTTCACGTCTTCCACTACACAAGGGCAAGAAGTCAGAAAGAACAGGAATTAAATGACCAGCCTGTTCCAAAGATCCGGACTCGGGCTCTGCGTGACAATGTACGACGGCATACTGACGGCATCCCACACCAGGTACTCGTAGAAAGTTGGATATGAAAAAAATTGTGTCTGATGGAAGGTCCAGGAGGCACTAGGAAAGAGTGTAGTTGCAGTGCGAAGAGACAGAGGAGTTGGCACTCGTGACCGCTTCCGCCCAAGAAGGATATGTAGAGAAGTCGAAGAGATAATCTCCCAACGTGTTGATCATGATGTTGATCACCGACACGCAAATCAGGTTCATGACAAGTCCAGCCTTCATCTGCATTACATGAGGTGAAGAAAAATGTTAGGGGTGGAAAGACTCTACAAGAATGGTAAGGGAGCAGGGAAGACTTTCCAACGTACCATGGTGGTGGTCTTCATCTGGGTGGCCTCGAAAACAATGGCATTGGGAGGAGTGGCCACTGGCAGCGTGAAAGCATACGAGCAAGCCACGGCCGAAGGCAGCATCAGGTACAAAGGATTCACTTTCACCACACTTGCCTACATCCAAAGGCAAATGTAGTACAGTGGTACCTCGCATAACGAACGCAATTCGTTCCAGCGGTGCGTTCGTTATGCGAGGTGTTCGCGAGTGTGTGTTTCGCATAACGAACACCTCGCATAACGAACGCACCGCTGGAACGAATTGCGTTCGTTATGCGAGGTACCACTGTAATGTGAAAACCATTTTTCAAAGGCTTTCCCTTTCTTCAACCTCAACCCCCACCTCCCCAAACTCACTAACGCTAGGCCTATACCTAACCGACGGACTGTCGTTGGTCAGGCCTAGGCATACCTTTTTTCATTCAAAAGAAACTCAATTGGGTCTTATTGGGTCAATTATGGGTATGAGGTATCCCTGGTTTTCGCGATCTCGTCGAAGACGTGTAACGTTCGGCCAAATGCAGGCCTATTCAGTCTCTCATGGCCCTTTTAAGAGAGTACGTGTAACACTAGATCGATTAGAGGTCTGTTTCGAGTTTCATAAACCATTTCAGTGCGGATGAGGCACGTTAGGCCTATCTAGAGTTCCTCGTCTCGACGAGTTCTGAAAAGAAAATGCCTCTAGGAAGCATGGAATAGAACGTGGGCGCCATTCTGTAAATTCACAGATGCCTGAATGAGAAATCTGCTCATCCCACTAAATCGATCGGCCACTGCTAGCCGCCATTTCAATCTAAGTCCATCTCAACTCGACACAAAAATATCTCATACATTTAAAAAAATATGTACAGACATCGATACTAAGGCCGAAGAAGTCATGAATCTGACATAACTAAGCACGATATCCGAGAACACTGTATTACGGGACCGAAGCCATCACGCGAAGCCTAAATTAACGGCATCTAATTTCATTTTTTATGGCGAAATGGTGAACTAGAAGCAACAAAAAGGACACTATTTGTCAACTACAAGTCAATAACTATTGTTTGGTTGGTCTCTTTCCTCCGAAAATGTATCAGGAATGGCTACTTAAGGGGGGGGGGGAACAAAAACCAGAATGAAATTCACATCTGAGGAAAGCGAGATTTCGTGATCACCACAACCACGGGGAGATGGAGCTTCGAATTAGCAGGCGCGATTTTGTTCTGGGAGAGAAAGAAATATGTCATTTCTTTCCTGTTGAAGCTCTCAAAAGGAATACGAAACGGTTGAATTTTGTCGCTGGAATGGGGTTGAAGGGAGGTATAAGGCGCTGCCGCATCTATTGATGTGAAACGAATAGCAACTTAATGGAGATGGAAATGTGAACTTTTCCTACAATTTTTCTATTACCATGTTCTTTTTAACGTTGAGAGAAATTAAAAACTTTCGAAAGGCTGCAATTGTACTCAATAGGTACGATAATGGATGGAAGTGGTATCTTACGAGCTGGGCCAGGACGGGCATGATGATTGTGGCAGTGGCTGTATTGGAGGCCACCTCCGTTATCAAGGCAGTCATGATAGTAATGATGAAGACGAGAGCGGCTGGAGACAAAAACCCAAGGGTTCCCAACTTCTGACCCAGCCAATAAGACAAGCAGGATTTCTCAGAGGCTTCTGCCATCGCGAATCCCCCACCGAGAAGGAGAACAACCCCCCATGGCAACTTCTCGTGGACGACTCTCCAGTTGAGGAGAGCTTCACTCGACTCCGACGGCCCATCTAAAAAGTAGGAGATCCTTCACTCAAAGCATTATCTCAGATAATGGAAGTGGGAAACGGTCGTGCCTACCTAATGATTCTCGAAAGCACCAGAATTTGGGTTTCGCGGGGATGATAAATAAGAAGACGACAATGAGCATTGCAGCGGTTGCATCTTTGACTTCCAAATCCCTGAGAAACAGAGCAGTTGTTCACTCGAAGTCGTGGATTTCCCGTAGAGAGAGGTGGAACATTGGGAAGAGGACGAGAAGTGAGAGTTCATACCTGTCCCCTTTGATCCAGTCGCCCCACCCGGGGATGAACTGAGGTTGGCGAAAGAGCCAGAGAAGAATGAGAATGATGAAAAGGGTGAGGGTCATGAACTCGTGGAATGAAATGGATCCCAGTTCCTCGTACTTCTTGACGATCACCGAGCGAGCTGCTTTTTCTGCCTTCTCCACTTCTAGAGTTTTTACTTTTTTTTTTGGTTGGTTCCGACGTTCCCTCCACCTGTTCATGGCATTTGATTTTAATATACGATCGAAAGACGTGAGTCCGATCTAACAGCAGATCCCACCACTCACTCAATAAAGAATAAGACCCCCTGGAGCCAAAGCCAGGCGATGAAAATATTGAGTAACATTCCCGGGATGTTGAAGGCCATCCAAGTACCGTAATTGAGCCCTGTCCCGATCCCGTACATCCTACATATTCAGCAGGATCAGTTTTCGATTCTTAGATTCCTCCTGGGAAAAGAGAAGCAAGCGACGCAGGCACATTTCGCATGCGAGACCCACAAGCGGAGGCATCAAAGGATGCAAACGAACGGACTCTGAACGACGTACAGGCATCAAGAAAGAAGAATCACGTACTCGCCCATAACTGCCTTAAGAGTATGATTGGAAGTTGCTCCTTTGATAGATCATGTTCCTCCTGTGTTAGCTGAATAAGCCACGGCCAACAAGGCTTGCATCCTAGAATAGTGGTAGTCTACGAGCTGCCCCCCTTCCATTTTTGCCAAATTCTATCTCCTTTCAAGCATCATGAGCAATAGCATTCACAATCCTGGTGGGAACCCCCTTTATTTCTTATTATCCCTTCCTCTATCTCTTGTTTGTACTCGTTTGCATGATTCCTGACGATCGGCTATGATACACCTCCTCCCCAATGAGTTATTACAGAGAACTTCATTGTTATATTGTTAGATATAACAATGCTTGTGACCGTTTTCATGGAAACGAGTTCATATGCATGCATACAGGTTTCATGCCGAAGGAGGAATGGGGATTGAACCGATACCGATCAAGAACGGATTTGAGGACGAGATTGGGTCCGGTCCCGTTGATGGTCCCCGTTCCCCCGATATTGGCGGAATACGCCACCGCCAATAGGCACCCCACCCTCGCACGCCTGTATCCCGGCTTCATGCCATCGTCATTGTCTAGATACTGCTCAAACGGGACTCCCCACCTGATGCATACAACCGAATTTTCATAGTCACCATAACACTCACCGATGGGAACCATGGAATTTCTTAATAAATGTTGGGGAATTATTCCTTAAAGAGAAACTAGTGGAGACAAAGGACATGCACTCACTCGTCCTGTATCTCCAGGACGGAGCTGACGGTCGTAATAGACATCTGTGATTCCTGCAGACGTCGCATCTTTTGCAAATGGCTGCGATGTCGGCCTTCCCGAGAAAACTCACCTACCATCTCTACTCCAGAAGAATCTCTACCTCTCTGCGCGATACATTCAATCGATCAGGAAGACTTGTTCATTTTGCCTAAGTGAGAGAGAGAGAGAGAGAGGGAGGGAGGGAGGGAGGAAGGGCAGGAGAGAGGGAGAGAGAGAGCGAGAGAGGTACGAGACGTCTTTGAAGTTCCTACCCGATAGAGTTCAATGAGGACGGCCTCCACAATGGGGACCATCATGGCAGTTGTTGCCGTGTTGGAGATCCACATTGACAGGAACATTGTCGTTAGCATAAACCCCAGCATCAGCCTTCCTCGTTATACATGGAACAAAGGATCATTTAATTGATATTCTTCCCGGAGACTTGTGCTATCGCTATGTTACTTGACTGCTATGGATTCATTTGTTTTTTTTTTATCTTAAAAGGCATTTGAAAGGAATAGTTCTAGTAATGACAATTTCATAACTTATTTTGTGATTGAATCTGAGGGAAAGGGAGACCGAAGGAAAACTGACCATTTTTGTGCTGTTCCAACCCATAGTAGGACCCTAAGAGCAATCCTCTTGTGCAGGTTGCAGTGTTCGACGGCAATGGCGACAATGAGACCACCTACGCATGCGCACACTTATTTCATACAATCTTGCTCTCGCAATGAATAGAGACCATAGAGAAAACGTACCGATGAACATCATGTTAGTCTCCTTCAGGTAGACTATGCACACCTTGGAGGTACCGAGGATCCCAAGAATGGGGAAGAGGAAGACGGGAATGAGGGATGTTATGGCCAACGGGATTGCTTCTGTCATCCAAAATGCTGCCATGATGAGAACGACGTATGCACACCTTCCTTCCATCTGCAAAACCCAATTATTTGGACCATTGCCAGTTTTCGTAAACAGTGATGAACCTTCTCTTTGGTTCAATCAATATACTTCATATGTCGTGCCTTCGGCGCTCGACGATTTGAGAAAATGATTTATTTTAGAGATTCGTTTGCTACAAACACGGTAAAATTCTTTGGGCAAAGGGACGAACAAATTTTTCCTGCGTATAAGTTGACCCCGATTTTCGAAAACCCTTTAAAAAAGTACTCATTTAAGTCGAAGCGAAAGAAGACCAATCGTTTGCCCACGAATGCGTTTATTTGTCATTGAAGAAGAGGTCGTTGGACTCCATATCGCTTTCGAATTTTTAAATGTCGTAAATGAACGTCGTTGTGAAATGTTACATTTAAATCCTTGCACAAATGCTATTCTTCAAGACAACGAACTGTCTTTTGGCTTCGCATTTGTTGTTTGCCTCGGCAAACAGAATAGCTTCATGCTTGAAGGCATCAGCGAAGTTGCGGCGAAGCTTTCGCTGAGTCAAGCTTCGAGCGTCCTTGTCGATAAAGCTCGGATCGGATACCAAACACCTGGAAACAATCCCCTTCGTACCCTTTCCCGAGTCCTAAACGGAGGTGTCCTTCGTTCGACATACTTTCATCCAGTTTTTTTTTTCCATTTAAATAAAACTTGTAACAAGTGAAAGTTAAGGAATGATGGAGGCTTTTTTTCACAGCTGAAAATTCGAGTGTTTGGGCCCTCCACCTCAGGTGAAGCCACGCATACTGGTCGACCGCGATTTTCGAGATAACTGACTAGTTAAAGTAGAAGATTGACCTATAAGAGTGTAATACCTCAAAACCAAGAAATCGTTACTTTGATAATTTGTGTGCCTAACTGCAGCACTCCATGCATTCCCCTTTTGTTGAAAAAAGAAATCTTGAAACATTTCCCCTGTAAAACCTGTCCGAAGGGGATACATCTCCAAAGTATGATTATTCTTGGTGCACCAGTAACTATTGTATTGCTGAGAGTGTGGTGATAGGCACGACTGAATGAGTTCAGTGTAATAGTAGCACACCTGACCGGTCGATCAGGGTTCTATTCCCGGCCGTCCCCTGGCTTTCTTTCGTTCTCTCTTTCCACCCAAACTTGTGCCTTTTTTGGCACAAAAAGCCACCCAAACTGCCTTTGGTCCTCATGACATGTGCAAGTTACAAATTTCCCTCTCTCTGTGTTTCGTTGGAGCGAAAAACTTCCTGGAAAATGCATAGCTTGTAATTTATTTATTTTCGGCATATTGTGTTGCAAATTTCAGCTCTCTGTCTTCCCGTTTTGCTGGGGAATAAAAAAACTGGAAATGTTTGCGCGATCAAAAATATGCGCCGAGGGAATATATTTCCTAAGTAGAACTTTTTGTACTGAGCAATCCAGGAGGTGCGCACCAAGTTTTCATTTTCTGTCACTCTCCGTTTCTCGTAACGGAAAAATTGAAATGAAAAAATCACCACCAAAAAAATTTGCCTTTAGAGGATTTTCCTCGAAAGTAAATTTGTACTGAAACCAATGCTCACCAACGATGGTTTTTCGGCATCTTGTCAATTCATGGCTCTATTCCTGCATACTTGTAGATGGCGCAGACCTTTTTTTTTCAAGGCGGACAGAACGTTCATGCATGAAATAGGATGAAATAGAAAATGCGACTTCTGTGTAACCGAGACAACAGTATTTATGAATGCCCTACAATGTGCTGATGTGCTGCCCGTCGTACCTCCGTACTGCAATATCGACGCCATCTTCACCCGACTCAGGATTAGATGGGATCAGGCGAATAAATGCAACGGAACGAAAACCAACTTTGGTCTATATAAACTTTTTTAAAAATGAGTTTGTCAGATGAGATCGAATACCCGCTGAGATTGGAGCAGGAAAACTTAATAATCGTTACCCTTTCCTCTCTTCCTGCGAGTCCTCGAACGAGGCAGGTGAACTCGCGCGTGACCTTCACGGAATATGCCGCCTTGCTTTCACGGGTCTCTTTATCTGGGCCGAGGGGATTCCTTGGTTTCTTTTGTGCGGAAGTAGATCGAGGACATTTTCTACCCGCATCGCGAGAGACAACACAATTGAAAGGAGTGGTTGAAAGGAAGGTTGACGTGGTGTTACCTCGTCTGTTTCGACGTGTCGTAGAAAGAGAAATGCATGGTGCAAGGGACATCACCTTCGGACGAAGCGTTCTTTCGTCGAGCGAGATTTCCATGGGTGTTAGAGCTGAATTCGAATGGCTTCACACCGGTGTGGGCCTAACATATTGCATTGGAAAAAAAAATTCATTGCACTCTGCTAAACTAGGTATTTGTGCTCTCGAAATTTTCCCAATGCAAGACCACCTCGCGACCAGACCTGAATCATCTATTAAATTTTCCTCTCTTTGGAAATAGGAATTTCGCAGGAATTCACCAAAGTCCAACTCGTGAAACCATAGCCTTTCTTGTGATTTCTGAAGCGAATGATGAAAAATCACTCCGACTTGGAAAGGAGTCGAAGGCCTTCTCCTCCCAACCTAGCGACTGCTGAATCATTTGCCTCATCGTGCCTTACCCCCGTGGAGGCTATGGACCTTTTGTGTCGTTGGGAGCCGACTGCTTACGCATCGAAGACAAGAAATGACGAAAGAATTTCTCTGATAACATTCTCTCGTACGCATAGAAGATGCGGGGAAAATTCTTTCAAAGGTGTCCACACTTGGAAATCAACCATTTATCTGCACGAATGGAAAAATAACGGTAATCGAACGAAATATTTATGTAAATAACGCCGTTGGGTGCACTAGGTAGATGGGATCAACAACACATGGCAATACAACTGCTTTAAATTTAATGTAATGGCAATTAAATAGAGTTGATAATTGGATACATTTTCAAATTCAATTTTTTTATATTGATGACCGCCCCAAATTACCCAAGAGCAATCGACCAGTGTCAAGCAAACACAAGCAATGGGCTGAGAAAAATACGTCACCGTGGGATGTAGGATTTTCTATCACTATCATTACTACAGCAATCGACATAACTGCAGGATTCCATTACCTTTGGAGTCCATGAGGAATTTGCCACAAACGAACTAAGAGACATCTCGTATAACATTGTCAGGTTTTGGTTTCAGTTTTTATCTTCTTATCCACCCGCATCCGCCCTCCTGTCCATTGGTAACGGAGAAGAAAAAAAATATGTTACTGAGACGAGACTAGAAAAGAAGTAGTCAACGGAGGTTTCTATAAATAAATAAAAATCAATATTCAGCTTTTTCTCTCAACAGTATTGCGGAGTTTCCGTGGAAGTCCCCAACCCATCAATCCTCATTGATGCATGAAAGCAAAGAAAGAAATGCCCCAGAGCGTACCAAACGTTAAAAGAAAGGTAAGAGGAAATCCCACCGTGGATGTTTCCATATGCCTTCGTTTTCTTGCCAGATTATTTAAAATTTCTCGCTGAGAACTTTCGATTAGCACGGCCCCCAGTTAATCGGATCCGCAATTAATTCTTTTTCATTCTATCATTTACCAACGGAGCCGGATTGCAACGAGCCGAGTTCAACATCTCGAGAGTGAAAATTTAGCAGCAATCAATCGATGTCGGATCTATATGAACGTAGCTCCGTCCAATTACAAACCCCAGCGATTCATGATGTGAGTTAGATTCCTGCTAACGAAATGAAAAGCAAATGCCACAGGACCTTAAATGAATGATTCCATGCTAATACGCTGGCGCCCCTTCCCCCTGGCGCCATTTCAGGAACTGGAGTGGTTCAATGAAATTACTCTCACCCTGGAGCAAGAGTTCAATGACGGTGGATTTGGAAATCCCAGACTTCTAATGCGAACGCAATTGTCCTCGTACGGGGCCCGGGCCCGGCCCCGGGGATTTGGTTGACCCCGATTTTTTAGGACAAAAAAAAATTAGGTCCTCCGTTTTCTGCCGCAGGCGAAGAAATATTCTCGTTGCGTCTGTCGGTGACGAATGCGCTTCGAGACTCCGTTCCGCGGGGTTTTCTTGGCCTCTGCGACCTCACGCTTGGAGGCAGCAGCGAAGTTGCGCGACACTCTCGCTGAGTCATGGCATCCCTGTCGGGAAAGATCGGATCGGATGCCATGCACCAGGAAACATTTCTTCGTACCGATTCCGCAATCCCGAACCCGAGACGTTCGATGGACTTTCACCCGATTTGGCAACGTGAGAATAGGACTCTACCGGTGCATCGGCTACCACCGGTATCGGTCACCGATATGGCACCATCGATGCCATCGGGAGACTTGCAAGCACAGACTTGCTACAGAGGCCGATGGCCAAGGAAGAACGTGCCGAACGGAGAAAATGGAAATAGGAAAAAATACGGCTGTGCCGATGCAACGTATCTCAACGTATGCCATTTTCGCCAGCAGCTGCTGGCAAAAAGGACACCTCGTTCCGTCAGCGCTCGACGCGATCGCGTCATTAAATGACGTCACTCTCGGGCAACCAGCTGCCAGCGGAACGTAGTGAACTATGAGAGCACCGAACAGGCCAGCATGGTTGTGGCGTGATGGGATAGTTGGAAGAGTCGGCAGAACAAGTAGAGCGAATCCAGAGACTTCGAATTCTGAAGCTTAGAGGCTTAAGCGGGCTGCGGGCCGGCCCGATCGACCGAACACTTAAGTACGGTCCGGCGATAGAGTTTCGGGTCAGGTGGGGTCTGAAATGCCGACTTGCGCAGGCGGACAGACAGACAAACGTCAGTTATTAATATATACCTGTAGATGAAAATCGTAGATATGACATTCAAAGGACGCTTTATGTCCCAGGCAAAGTCCATGTTGACAAATTTAGCAGTTGATTTGTCCCCTTGAAATGTTTCCGAACGGTGCGAACAAAGGGGAATCGTCCGTTTGCAGTGCTTTCTGATTCCAGCGTTTTGGTAGGCACTTCGGCCAATCACTTTTGCGCTTTTGAAAAGGGGACTTCTCAACGATATACACTCGGCGGACATTGAAATATGACCTCCTACCTAATATCGCCTCGTTCGAAAACCGTCAAATAGCGGCCTTTTCCCATGCTGTTCACATGTAACACTTTGTGCTAGATGTACCCACCATCACGCATCAACTGGTGACTGCGTTCGCCCCGACGTGCTTTTATTCCAATGGCACAGTCCACTTTTTACCATTTGGGGGGGGAGGGGTGGTCATATTTCAATATCTATTGAGTGTGGATATCTCGTTCTTGCTTGCCGAAGATACGAGGGTTGCTTAAAAGCCCGCTTGGAACGTTTCTGTCTACGTGAACTTATCCCGATGGAAATAAATCAGAATGGAAAAACCACGTTGGCGCTTATTTTCGATTCAGCACCGTTTTAAAGATGCCTGAACTTTTTGAAGACGGGATCGAAGAATATGGACCAGTGCGCATTTTTAAATATGCCTTCCTTTTTTATATTATGACAGCACGAGACAGATTGTGGACAATGCTCTTGCACAGCCGTTATTCAAAGGTTTCATCTGGAGTCGGCTCTGGAAAAGGGCCTACGACCAAGTAATTATTCTCTAATAGAATCGATTCATTTGGATGTTATGTGCATCTTTCCGCAGGCTATGCTAGCTGTTGACCCACCGTGCATAAAAAAAAT